GCTTTTTGTTGTTGTCAGCTCGAGCGCGATATTGCTCACTACGAGAAGTTGGGTGAGACCAAGCGTGTTGAGGAGATTAAGGAGCATTTGGCCACTGTGGTGAAGCACGAGGAGGATGAGGATATAGGTACCAGTGATGAGAAGTTACTTGGAAGGATCATGCATGACCTTTATAATACTGAGTAATGCAGCTGGTGTGGTTGGACCGCTTTTGACGGTTTTTCTATCAGTTTCTACATCATCGATAAGTTCCCCGCATCCGTTCGTCCCTTCTACACCATGCCTGATCCCGTCGACCCTAAGTGGACGAACTCATACGATATTTTCATTCGTGGTGAGGAGGTCACCTCGGGAGCTCAGCGTATTCATGATGCTGATATGCTGGCTGAGAAGGCCCAGCGTCTCGGTGTGGAGTTGTCGACCATTCAGCCCTACGTTGATGCTTTCAAGTACGGTTCTTACCCCCACGCTGGAGCAGGTGTTGGTCTTGAACGTGTGGTGATGCTCTTCCTCGGTCTACCTAATATCCGTCTCGTATCGATGTTCCCTAGGGATCCTAAGCGCCTTACTCCTTAAGAAGTCATCTGAGTATTTGTAAGAATAGGAATGTTATGTATTATGCCAGCTACTACCATTAAGGCTGCTCTACTGCTTTAATATCGTAGTGTGGTTGCTGCTATTGACGGTTATCCCATCCTTTCCACTATACCTCTGATCGTTGTGTTTACAGTTAGTTCAGTCAGAGATGGTATTAATAGGATCGTTAGAAGATTGATTTGTCTAGCTGCTATTGGGCCCATCTGGGTGAGCGTGGTATGGTGGGGTCGGGTTCCTCGATAATAATGGTAGTTGTATGGCGTTTGTGGAAAGTCCACTGTTTCCTGAGAAGGGGTTATGGTCAACTTTTCTTCGATGTTGGCATCAGCAGAGTTAGCTGTGATGAGGTGTAGTTTTATTCTTTTTAATGGTGTTGCCAGCCCGGCCGGTAGCAGCTGGTGGTCCAACGAGAGACGATATTCTGAGGCAGCTGGCGTCGAGTCTGTCGGAGCACGGCAGTACCGCTGAAGACTTTGATGAAGTGGAATGGCTGATGGAGGAGTTGGGGAAGGGAGGCAGGGCAGGGATGAGCATGGACGCGATACTAGCACGATTAAGTATGCAATGGGGAGTAAGTGGCTGCAGTCGTTAGTATTATGTTCCTCCTAGTGCCGTACTAGTAGTAACCATACCACACCTTGGTCAGATTCTAACCTCAATGCCTTAGCCCAGGAGACATCAGCGATGATAGATAGTGAGAGTTCACAGTTGATGTCGGCAGTACCGGCTGTCATGCATGATTTGCAATGCATGAAGGGGGACGTGTCCAAGGGGGAGGGGAGGTTGGCGAAACTAGTGGGGGAGTTGGGAAGTCGGGATAAGGAGGAGCAGCGCCAGACGCAGCTGTTCATTGCTAAAGTCGATAGTGGGAAGGGGAAATTACAGGCAGCGAGAACTGCACTGGGAGAGGCATACAATTGGGATGCGAGGGTGATGATGACGGAGCGATGCTGTTTTCTTTCACATCTTTCATTGATCTCAGATACGGGAATTGGATAGTCTGCTGCATAGGGGAGAGTTTAGGGAGTTTAAGGGGAAGATGGGGGAGATCAGGGAAGCCCTTGATGGTGGCTTGAAGATGCTGCCGGACTATGAAGACCGAAGGCAAGAAATAGAGTCGATGCAGATGAGCCTTCAGAGGGAAGTTAGAAGGTAGAAGTTGTAGGGGTGACAGGTGGTGACAGTCGGTGTGTATGGTAGGAAGGTGGGCTCGGCTATTGACAGATGCAATTCTAAGCAGTTGAGAGTTTGTTATGATGTAGTAGAGGCTAGGGGTGTGTTTGTGATAGACCTGTGGTGGTAGGCGTATCGAGATGATATGAATGTTGGGAAGGGTGGCCTGGAGGAGTTCGAGGAGGCGGTGTGTGCTGCTATGAATAATGTGGTTCAAAGGAAGTGGACGGCATATGTGAGGGGGGGGGGTTTGTATTGTGCATGCTATGGTGTTGGAGTAGTTACAGTCATCATCGTCATCTTCGGCAACTAGCAGTGATCTGGAGGGTGTAGATGCAGTGTTGTCGGATAGTGAGGAGGAGGATGGGGGAAGGGGAGGGGACGATGGAGTTGACGGGGTGTAGGTGGTAGCAGTGGTGATAGGATGTGTGTTGTGGAAGTTATGGTCAGTATCGGCTTCTTCCATGCCTTGGCGGAGGCCCTAGTAGAGCGGCTGGAGACGCTGGCGGGTGTGAAGGATGGTGATGGTCTGCTGATGAGGAAGTGCATCTTATCGGCTATGAAGGAGGTAAGAAGGGTTCTAATTGTGTCGATGTTCCTACTTCTCCGTTATCAATCTCTACTTTTGAGAGGAAAAGGATATACTTTTAGCAGTGCATTGATATTCTTTCAAGTGTTATGATCAGTGTGTGAAAATGTGCACATGGTCAACTGCATGTGTTGGTGATAATATGGAAATTCTGAGAAAATTTTTTCGGAAAATTATCGTTCGGTTTTTATAAACTTCTACCCAAAATCGTGTAAGGTAGTGAGAAAACTCACGAGCTCAGTTGAGGAAAGCAAACGAATTCTCCCACACCTGTTATGATGGGTGGTTTTTGGGATGTGATCACTTCCAGTTATTCGGCCCGTGGGCACCGCGCTGTAAGGCTCTACCAGGCCGACCCAGGGAGTTCCTATATTCCCTAACACGGGGATTTAATCACTTGAAGCGGAAGATGCACTTTGAAGATGACGAGTGAGCAATGGGGAATTTCGTGGCGCGTGACGTTGCGTTTTATGGTAGGTGGTCTCGTATATGCGCTCAGAAGTTGGTGGATAGCAAGTTGCTAGAGAGCCTAGTTCCGGGACTGTTTCTCCCTGTTGAGGGAGGTGGCGGTGTGAGGAATCCACTGAGTAGTGAGGAGGAGATGGAGGAGGTAGAGGAGGAAAGGAGGAGTAGGTTGAGCTTAGCTGATGGGCTCATCTCATTGGAGACTAGAGTGATGAAGTAAGGACCTCCCTATTGCCCTTTGGAGGGTATGGTGGTATGGGTGGTAGATACCAGACGGCTATAGTGAGGTCGGGAAGTGCTGGGCTCGAAGGCTCATTGAGTGCGGCGGCGCTTGCTCCTCTTTGGTCGAGGGAAGTTCATCAACTGTGAGTTTGCTGTCTTGGTCACATCGTGCAAGTGGTAGTAGGTATGAGTCATTTTGGTACACTACCGTAAATCGGTCTATCTCTGGGATGGTGGCTAAGGTGTTTAAAATGTACTCGGCACAGGGAGATGACAATGCTGATTTCTCTACGCTGCTCGCGAACTGCCGGTAGGGGAGTCCTTGGAAAGGTTTGGGTGGTATTAGGGAGGTGTATAGGTCGGTAGATCAGAGCATGGGCTCCCTGCGTGTGGGCGCGGAGGAGTTCAATAATCAGCTGAGGAGTATAGCGAGGAAGGCTAGTGAGAAGGCTGAGGAGGGGGAAGTTGAGGACGCCTCGGTGGGGGTCATTTTGGCATCCATTGCTGATGGTGATGACGAGCATGAGGTGGCTACTACTACTGCTGCTGTTGATGAGGTAGTTGCTAATGTACATGTACGACATGGAGGATTCTCTTTTTCTTTTTAGGTCTGTCAGCGAGTGAATAAACTCATCGTGGAGGGGCTGTGTTCGCCGATTAGTAAGAGGATTTTGAAAGGCTATGGTAGGAGCGCTCATTGGGGTCGATGCTGATAGGAGAGCTGCGTAGGTACACTGGCGGTATGGTCTGAAAGTAGTAGTAGTCGAGGGCAGCAAGGAGGAGCCATGCCCTCTGCTAGTGTCACCTCCCTCTCTGAGCAACTATTCCTATATGTACCATACCTGAGCAAGAAGGCTAAGGAAGGAGAGGATGATGTGAGTGACTTAGTAGCATGCTGCCCGCTGGAGTTGATGATAGTGTGTTAGTAGGGTGAAAATAGTTTTTTCCCTTATTCCGATTTTGCAAGAGGGTTTTTTTCCGCGCGTTGGATGGCGCATGCTTATTGGAGTAGTATGCGTTAGGTACTCCGATCTCAGTGGGTGCCGGCAGTGTTCCGGAGGGCGGCTCAGACCATCATCACGGAGATCGATAGTGGTATCACTATCATCACCGAATCTGGGCTAAGGCAACTCAATACTGACCTGAGGTAGAGGACTACTTTGGATGAACATTCACTCTGGGGAAAAAATATAGGGGATTTTTTCCAAGTACTGCTATTGCACTGTAGTAGCAGCACACGTAGTTTTGTAGGGGAAGTTTTATGTTATTAGATTTGATGATGGGCGGAGGGGAAGTATATGTATCGACTGTAGTTACTCTTTGAAGATTATAGTGTCGTTGTGGAACGGGTGTCGTCCAGAAGAGGAAATGCCGGAGGCTGAGGATATGAAGAAGTGGATACATGCTACCCAGGTGAGGACATTGAGGATGCCTTGGTGTCTTGTGAGGTAGGGTTTAGGTACTTCTGGAGACTTCTTCGGTAGGGGCGGTTGCTGAAGCCAGGGATGACCCAATCGTACTGAAGCTATCGAAGGCTCTAGAGGGCGCACACGCCACTCCCCGTAAGGAAACAGGGAAGAGCCCACGGTCGTAGTGGGGCCCAATCGTAGTTTCTGTGCCCGGCTTGGTCGTGTTATCGCGGAGGGGAGTAGTGGGGTTATTGTAGTGTTAAAGTGATGAGGTTCCAATCGTATACCCCTCAAGCGGAGGCGTTGAAGGACTTGAAGAAGGAGCCGGTGTCAGCGGAGCCGATAGAAGAGGAGCTGAATGCTGAGTTGGACCAAGTCATGGACTATGCCCAGATAGAGGTGGGAGGAAGGTTGGTAGGGGGAAGGTCAAATGTTGACTTCCTTCAGGAGAATCGCGCATCGATTTTGCCCCGTCGGCCTAATTGGGATTTGAGACGAATGTATGCTGAGCGGACAAGTAGGTCTCGGGTTCGATCCCCGGTACCCCGGTTTTTCCATAAAAATATTCGGGACATCGTATTGTGACGGTTATACCAATCGTGTCGACGTCGAAGGTCAGGTCATTTGAGCAAGCAGACTGAGAGGTGTCTGCTCCGCTTGATGCAGGAGGAGATTCGGAAGGCCGAAGGAACTGAGGCCACCACTGGAGAGGGTAGGTTGAAGCATCATAGAACCATTGACCTTTCTATTCCTTCTTGATTACAGCCAACACCCCTACTGCTGGTGGGGTAGCTAGCGAGTCGGAGGAGATGGAAGTGACTGAGGAGGATAAGGAGTTCAGGTAGAAGTGGTATTGAGAGGGTATCAAATAAGGAACACTGTAGGCACTTGGCGCGAACCTTCCATGGCAAGCCTGCTGCTATTTCTGAGGGGGAGCTGGAGGAAGAAGTCCGGCCTCAGACTAGGACGTAGAGTACTCAAATAACAGTTTCCATCGAAAGGGTGTTGTTGTTATATGGGCGGCGGATATTATTGGTAGTGAGTGTTGTGGTAGTCTGTGAGGCTATGAAGATTGAAGAAGTTCAGTCGACCGTGCACTCCACTCGTATTGCGAGTCATTCTCATGTCAAGGGCCTCGGTCTGAAGCCAGATGGAACAGCGGAGCCTATCGCGAGCGGGTGAGTGGAAGAGTGGTGATGGTCACCATTAGTAGAAATAATTGTGCTTTTTTGTGTAGTGTAATACTACATAGTGTAGTTATGTTTCATGTAGTGTAATGATAATAAGAGTAATAGAGGTGGTTTAGGTTGGTGGGCCAGGAGAAGGCAAGGGAGGCGGCTGGGGTAGTGGTGGATTTGATCAAGAGTAGGAAGATGGCTGGTAGGGCTCTATTGATGGCAGGAGCACCGGGTAATACCATAGGGGTTGAGGAGAGTTGAGAGAGGAGTGGTAGGTACTGGCAAGACCGCCATTGCGTTGGCTATTGCTCATGAGTTGGGGCCTAAGGTGCCCTTCTGCCCTATGGTGGGTAGTGAGGTGTACAGCTCTGAAGTGAAGAAGACAGAGATCCTTATGGAGAACTGTAGGAAGGCTATGGCATTAGAATCAAGGAAACCAAGGAG